CAGGACCAGCAGTTAGCGTAATGGCTTTGTCGCTGAACGCCATGTAGCCGACCATGGTTCAAGTCCCAGACCCGGTGGCTTAAACTCATGCTGGGTGCATGTGCGTGCATGCCCAAGATCCCAAGAGGAGAATGGAGGAGAAGGGATTGAGGCATGGCCATCCCCCTTGGGGGGTGATTTCTCACTTTCTGTCTCTCTGTGTCTCTCTGTCTTTCTGGTGAACGCACGTGCCCTATAGCAGAAACCTCTCAAAAAAAAAAAAAGTTAAAAAAAAAAAAGAAATAGTTGGAATAGGCCTTTCTTGAGGACCTGTGCCAAGAACTGGCTCGAAGTAGCCACCAGAGAAAAGCTCCGAAAGAGGGACTCTTACCTGGTAGTGGACGAGCCTGCTCAGAGGGTGTCCCAGTGGTCTCTTGAGCATGAGATGTGAGGAGGTGGGAGGTATTGGCTGGAGCCCCACAATTGAACTGTGCAGTGGTAGCTGCTGGAGAGAACCTAAGCAAGGCCCAGAGAAGAGTTAGGAGAGATTATATTGGGGGGAAGGGGTGTTCCTCTTTTGGAGAACTTAGAGCCGGAGGCCTATCCTCTGGGGGTAAGCCACATCCACGGTGATGCTAAAGCCTATTAAAGTGGACTAGTGTCTCTGACTGCCCTCTGCCCCCATCTCCCAGGCCCCAGTGCCTCTACCTCCTAGCTAAGGCTCCTACCAATTCTTGGGGTTTCAGATTCTTTACCTACTCTGAGGACCAGGAATGGGTCCTTCTTCACTGCTGCTGCTACTGGAGGCTTCATCTCCACTGGGCAGCCTGGCTTGGGGGCAAGGCTGACCAGAACTCCTATCCACCACCAGGCTCCCTGCTTGGGAGGTCTGAGAGTTTAGCACGATAAACTTGTACTTTTTCCAGTTGCAGGCTTTGGGGTCTGGGCTGGCAGGACTTGGGGAGCCTTGACTGCAGCTTCGAGACTCAGTAGGTGGGTCTGGGTGCCCTTCAGAGCGCCTGGGACTGCCTGGTGGAGGGGCCGTTGGGGGTGTGGGTGGTTCTGCCTCCAGAGGCCGCAGAGAGATGCCAAGAGGTTCATAGCTGGATAAGGAGTAATGGACATTTATTAGTGCTATTTCCTGAGCCTTTGCCCTTGACATCTGGGGCACCGCTTTACCCACGGAGAACACCAAGTTGGGGCTCCCTCACCTGGCCTGGATGAAGCGGTGGCATGCTTGGACCACGTGTTCCATCTGCAAGTAGGTGGCAGCCGCAAGGACAGCTGGTGCAGTGGCCGGAGAAAGGCGCAGGCGTGAAGTATACATGAAGTCAAGAAGAGGAGCGAAGCCTCTGGCTTCCGGGCCGCCAGGCAAGGAGAGCACATCTACCCCTATTCCCGCACGGCCCCGGAAAATTGAGTAGAAGAAGCCACTGAAGGGAGGGAGATAGGTCACGTTAGGGGCTGGCGTTCCAGGGGAGACTGAGGAAACTTGAGAAAGCCCCGCCCATAGGAAGCCCGCCTTCCTGCTATCGTCCCTCCCCCAATTCAGGGATGCTTGCTTTAAGCTTCTGGAAGGTTTGGCTTCCGATTCCTTATCAATAGCCTTATGGCTCCGCCCCTTTCCTATTTGGTCCCGCCTCTACCCCGCGAACCCCACCCCTCGAACCTGCAGGCGATAAGCACAGCCTTGTGTGCCCGAAGGGGTTGCCCGCCAACCAGCAGCGTGACGTCAGTGAGGATCCCGCGCAGGCGCAGCTCATTCAGATTGCCGAGCACGTCGGAGGAGTGGCGAGTAAACTCGCGGACATAGCCCAGCGCTCCCTCTGGGGCAGCGGTAGAACCCATAGCGATGCAGGCCTGCGGGTGCCATGGAAGGGGTTCAGGGATCCAGCCAGTGCTAAGACGCTTTCCCTTCTCTGCCTTTACCTGCCAAGGTGCAAGGGCCTCCAGCCTCCGGCTCTGACACTCGCAGCCTCATCGTGTTGATTCTGCCCTCACCCACACCGTCGGTCTCTTCCCTATTCTAGAACCCAAAGCCATGGGGGCGCGTTGACAGTTCCCACACTGCTGCGTGGATGGCGAGCGTGGGGAATCCGGGGCGCAGCGGACTCAGTTCGATTCCTGGTGCCCCTCCAGCCCCACTCCCCTCCGCCTCGCAGCGCGCCTGTGTCTCAGGTGTCCGACCCTGCCTAGAGAACCCAGACGATTTGCGGTCTACACCCCTCCAAATCCCGGACGAAGCTCCTTTTTCTGACCCACAGAATTCTGCTACTCCTATCTAGTCCCCGACTCCTAGTTTTGTCTAAGTTCTAGGATTCAAGTCTTCCCACCATCAAGAAGTCCCAACCCTCTTCGGGTACCCAAGAACCTGGCTCGCTCAGATTCTCGTTCTTACCCCCGTCCTGCAGGGGCTGCAGCTTCTCTTCTCTAGGGGGGGCGGGGTCTCTCTCCCCTCTCGGCCTCGGTCCCTTTATGTGGCCGGGATGTCGGGGGCGGGGGTGGAGGTGGGTAAACGCCTGGGTCTGTATCCTTCCTTCCTCCTTCGCTTTCCAGATGGCGAGCCTGGGGCGGGGTCTCCGGCTGGAGGGCGGGACCTCAGAAACGCAGGATGGTCGTAACATTGAGGGTTTGGGGCAACTGAGAGCAGAACAGAGGATGGAGATATTGGAATTGGGGAGGAAGTTAGGGATTTCCTCGACGTTGGAACTATAGGGACCTGAAACATCGGAGGGCCTGGGACAGGGAGAATTGGTGTGTTGTTGGCTTTAGGAAGGGAGTGCCAGGAGCCTGTCGCAGGAGAAAGTGAACGCAGCCGAACTCCCTCTCCCAGGGAACTGTGTTAGGGGAGAAAACGGGGAGCCCGAAGAGTCCTAGGTTTGGGGAGATCATAGGCTCTCGTGGGGTCTCACATAACTGGAGGATATATGCAGTGTGAATGACAGGCTTTTCTAGCGGGGCCTTCCCAAAGGGGGCTTTGACCGGGCGGAGTAGGGAGAGGGCGGATATGATTTCTAGTTCGTTTCCTTCCATTGTCCTGCGACCGGACGGCTTCGCCAGCTGCTTCCCCTCGAGGAGGTGGGGAAAGCCCCGGGTGGGGTCCGAGAGATGCCCGGGAGACCTAGGCGTCCAGCCTTAGCTCTCGACTCTTCTGAATTGTTTTAGGGATCCAGAGAGACGGACTCCCGCCCAAAGCCCGCTCGCTCTCCCCAGTCCCAGCTCACTAGGGCCTCGGGCACCCGCCCGTCGGTTACGCTCTGAGGCTGGCGGTACGCCGGCGTCCAGCGCGGCAAGCAGGCAAAGCTCGGCAATGTTGGGCTCCTTCCACGAGGGGGCGGACGAGCACTACCTCGCCTCGCCGGGTCCTCTCCACCGCTGGGGGTGTAGTCAGAATGGGGAGCAGGATCGATGAGGTCTAGGCGACCAAAACCCTCGACCTCCTTCCCTTTGCTCTGGTTTCTTTTGCACCCCTCTCTCGTAAGAGGGGACTGGAGTTGGGCGGAGAGAGTTAAAGTTAGGGGACCTTCCTGGGGCTGGAGTGCCTACCTGAGGTTAGAAACCCTCTGGTGTGAGGAATAGAGGTGGGTGGGGGGCGCTGAGCCTGACAGCACAGGGCTTTCCCTCCACCCCCATTTTCTTTCTGTCTTTCCTTTTTAATATAAATTAAGCAAGACATTATTATCTAGGTGCCTTTAGAGGTGAATTTTCAGTGAACAGTAATACTAAGAAAAGTTGGGTGGAGTAAATAGAGAAAAGGGAGAACAGGGAGGAGGAAGAGAAGACAAGAGTGGTCTAACAAGCTTCATTTAAAGGCTCTGATCTGAGAGACTGGCATGGAGCACGCCCTCGTATTTTATGTGAGGTCTTCATGGGCAAGGTTTCTTTAGAGAAGGGGGTTCAAAGCGAGTCCAGCTGCTAAGCAGAATCTCCTGGTATTGGGTCTCAGGAGAGTGTACCATTTGTGGGGGAATGACTGCCCATTGTCCATGGAGTTGAACGTGCAGGCCTGCGGCCCACCTCCCAGATTCAAGTGTATCTTTACTTGGGTGCCTAAGAGAACATCTGAAAGACTGGGTTTTGGGGGCCACTATGGATTCAAGATGGTGAGGTGGCTTTTGCATGGGTGGGTTACGTTGGTCTTTGCCCACTGTGAAGGTGGAAATAAGACTAGAAGCTCCCTTTGGTATCAGGATGGAGTGTTATCTGGTCAGTCATGAGGTGCCGTCTCTGTCATCTTGGACTATCAGGAGAGCCAGAGTACTCAGCCGATTTTGGGGTGCAGTCTGTTTTGGGGTGTCATGTAAGTTTCAAGGCTCATATTAGATTGTTGGGGACATGAGATTCAAATTGGAGGTTTTGTATAAAACTAATTTATGATGGAGTGTAATAAGCTGGGAGTGAGGCTTTCTGTGATGGGGGGCCCCAAAAGGGGGAGCACAATTTTATACTTGCATCTTTTAAAACATTTTTTATTTGCAACTTGCTTTGAGGAGGGGCTAGTCCTGTGTATGCATGATAGTCACAAAGCTTTTTCCAGAGGGAGAAACACGGTGAGGGCCCCCAGGATAAGAGACTAAAGTTTTGGGGTGTCCTTATTTGGGGTGCTTTGTCACTTCTTGGGTACATTTGAAGAATGAATCATAAGATGAAATCAGTTTGGGGGTTCACTTCATTTGGAGTAGGATTTTGGGTTGGGATGCCCTTTGCTTATATCTTCCTCTCACCCCAAATTCTAGAAATTTTTCTTTAGTGGACCCCAAGTAATCCCAGGACTTGAAGGGAGAAATTTGGAAAGAGGGTAGTGTCACCTCTTCTCACTATGTGTCTTGGAGAGGTCTGAGGGAGAAAGGAGGCTTCAGATTCTGAACCCCGATTTCTTCAGGGAACACACCTCTGTTTATGGAAAGGTGGAGGAAAATGGGGTGTCTCTTGGTAAAGTGGACACCTCTGACCAGGGCAGTGTTGCTGGAACTGTGGCAAGAAGGGGTGGTGGTGGGGCATAAGGTGATTCCTGTACCCTGATTTTCTAAGACAAGAGCCCCAAACAGAAAGCAGACAGGACTGGGAGTGTGAGTGAGACGAGGGGGGAGGGGTTCCCAACAGCAGCAGGGGCTAGAGGGTAAGCCAGGCCAGCTCTTCACGCCTAGGTCCCTGCTCTCTTCGGCTCTCCTCCTCTCTCCCTCCCACCGCCCACCCCCCCAACCCAAGGAAAAAAACTGCCTGTGCAACAGCAATGGCAGATTCCAATCCTCCAGGCTTTCCTAAGCCACCACCGAGACCAGCCAGGGGGGAGGGGAGGGGAAGATCGGGCTTTCCTGCTTCCTTGAGACAGGGGCAATGAGCTTGACCTCCTGGCCCCTAGCCCTCTGAGGAGTGCCCCCCCCCAGTCTGGAAGCCAGGTGTCCTGGACCCCAGCCCCCGAGCGGGGGGGTCTGGAGAGACGGGGAGGAGGAAGGAGGGAGTGACTTCCAAAATTGGCATCGGGACAGAGCAGGGCTGGCGGGAGGCACGCGAAAGACGGAATTTTCCTGGAAAAACGGGGGTATCTGAGGACCCCAAATTTGGGGAGCTAGTCCAGGACTGTCCTCCCAACATCCTAGATTTTTTTGGGATTTTTTGGGGGCCCTGGGACCCCTCTAGATGGGGTGAGGAATGTAGTGTTGGGGGAATCTGACTGGGGCATTGCAGCTGCCTCTCCCGCCGAGTTGGAGACGGATGGGCTGGGACGGGTTTTGGGGGGGGTGTCCCCAGTTTTGACTGGGAGTGGAGGAACCCCCTCCTGAGCTCTCTTGTGGGGTCCCCCCTCCCTAGGGCACTCCCCAGTCCCTGAGCCAGACGAGAGGAAGGAGGCCAGCGATGCGACTGGGGCGGCTCCCTTCTCCTGCACCCCAAATGTGAGGGATGCACCCCAAATTTTGCTCCTTTCAAAATAGGGGACCAGGATCTCAGGGGAGAGTAGCTGAGGTAAGTGGGGAGGAAAGTGTCCCCTGTTTTCAGGAGAGACGTGGCGGTTGGGGGGAGGTTTGGAGGTGCGTGCTGGGGTGGGGTTGGGCTTTGTCAGCCTTGGAATTGGGGTGATGACTGGAGAGGCTTTCTTTTATACCCCTAAACTGCAGCCCCCCAGGTAGAAGCCAAAGGCTGAGACCAGAGAGACCCCCAGCATCCCCAGCCGTGAGGATAGTGTTTCTCTTTCACCCCCACAAAGGCTCTGCCCAGGGTGGGAGCTGGGGGGCAGCTGTTCAGTTTGGGGGCGATGGAGGGCAAAGTGAGGTTTCAGGAGGTCTTGGCAGGCTTCGTTATAGGACAGAGAGGGGTCACGGGGGAGAGGATCTGGCATTCTTGGGGGCCTAAAAAGACTGCTTAAATACACCAGTTCAGATCTTTTTGATTGCTAAGAGTTTTGGGGGGTGTGTCGGAAACGGGGTGGTAAAAAGTGGAATGGGATATGAGAGGGTAACTTTTGGGTTTCAGAGGGTATTATTTTGATTTGCAGAAGAGATTTTGGTCCTTGGGTTTTGCCTTCTGGGGGTGCTTTTTAAAAATCAAGTCCTGGACACGAGGAAAGGGCTGAGGAAGGCCTAGGGTGGGGGGTGGGGAGAGGCATGTTTGTCTGCTCCCTGGGGTGGGCCCGCCTGCCTGGGCCTGGTGATGGGCTGATGGGGGATGTTGTGGGGGTGGGGCCTGGGTTCTGGGGGGCCATGGGGAGTGGGAACAGCACTGTGGGTTGAATACCTGGCCCCCAGGTCCAGACGGCCCTCTTCCTGGGCCCTGCTGCTCCCCTTTCCCCCTGGCCTCCATTTCCTGCCTTTGGCCTCCATCTTGTGGCAGGCCCAGGGCCCAGGGCCCAGGGCAACTTCCGGCCCCCCTCTCCCAACCGTGTTCCGGCCCCACCACCTCTGGACTGCCAACTCCCAACCCTGCTGTCCTTGGCCCTCTGTCTCTCCTTGCTTTTCTCCTGGGTTCTGACCCAGGGAGGGGAAGAACGGACACAGGAAACCTTGGGTCTCTGCCCTTGCTCAGTCTGGAGGAGTCTGTTGGTCCCCCCAGTCATTGCCTATTTCCTCTGCCTCAGACCCCACCCTAGGGATCCCCTGAGCCGAATTCCTACTGGGGAAGATGGTTCCAGTCTCATTACACTGTGAGCTCATCCCCTGGGTCCCTCTCCTTCCAGTTGCCCGCTCAGCTCCTGCCCTGGTTCCTGGCTTTCCCCAACCTCTTTTAGGGCCATGTTTGCCTTCTAAGCCTGTGCTGTGTCCCTGCTCTTGGTGGTGATGGTGGGGTCCTCACAGCACTGCCCTGTGCTCTCCTCTCTCAACCCACCCCAGTCCCGCTCCCGCCCCAGCAGCACACTGTGGTTTGTACGGCACTGTGGCCACGTCCAAACCACACTGTGGTGTTAGAGCGAGGGTGGGGGAGGCACCGCTGAGGCCTGGCCCTGGGAGGCCATCCTGGAGAAGCAACACAAAAAACATCTGGGGTCTCGTGACAAACTTTTGAGGTGGGGAAAATGGGGGTGAGTATGAAAGCGCTGGAAAGAGCCCCTTGAAAATCCCCAGGGTAGTGTCAGGAATACTGACTGCCAGAGACCCTGGGAGTTAAGTTTGTTCCCCAGAGGGCAGAGTCGAGGTCTTTGTGGCCCACACCCAGCTCCCCTGGCTCTAGCAGCACAGAAATATTGGCACTGGGAAGCAAGCCTGCCAATATTGGCTGCGCTGCTCCAGGCAGGGTGGCCAGAGCTACCAGGGGGCGCTGAGCCCTTGAGACTGTGGGGGGTGGCCCCTCTGGAGTTAATGTTAAACTGACCACACTACGCTGAGAGGGAAATCTTTATTGTTTCTGTATAAAAATGTCCATCCGGTGGAGGTCAAAGGGGTTGAGGGCAGATGCTTATACGGGAACACCAAGGTGGTCGGCCCCAGCAGCCTTTGACCGTCTCCCATGCAGCCTTGCTCAGAGTCCCAGGCGATCCGCAGGTCCAGCCTGAACAGTGAGAGGGGTCAGAGGCGGAAGGCTCAGCGGGAGAGCAGAGGAGGATCAGTGGAGGTCATGAGAAGGCCAGAATCCAGAGTCAGGCTGTCTGGAACAGGAAGGAAAATGGGCCGAGATGGAGCGAGCCCCAAGTATGCGTAAGAGACAGCTTCCGCACCCCCCAGGCATCCTGCCACTATGACCCAGTCCCCCGCACTGTGATGAGAGTTCCTTCTCGTCCAGGGGCCTCATGTGAGGGAGGGGGGTAAGTGCTCTCCACGACCCCTCCAGCTGTGTGGGGGGACGAGGACTCCTACCCTGGTCGAAGTTGAGTTTCTTGGCTGGAGGAGTTTCTCCTAACCCTTCAATATCCACCAGGTCACTGTTGGCGTCGGAGTCGTTCAGAGCACTGAGTGTCACATCTGGGAGAGGGGTATAAGCTGGGTTCTAGGTTTCTCTAACTGCCCTCCCCCTACAGCTCCCTGAGGCTTTGTGCCCGCTTCCCCCCACGTCCACAGGGAGAAGAGAGATTTGTCCCTCTATGACCCAAGCCTAATTCTGAACCTCAGATGAGACTTTTAACCCCTAGGCTGCCACTCCACAGCTCTCACCAGCCTTTTGTTTCTTTATGGGGGGACCCCCAGCTTCAGGGACACTGGAGCTGCTGGGTGGAGGGGCAGCTGAAGGAGGCGACAAGACACCAGATGCCACCTTCTTGGGACCTTTCTTGGGTGATTCAGCTGGAAGGGGGATGCCAGAGTCTTCATAAACCTTGCGTTTCACGGTGGCCTTTATCTGCGCCCTGAAGAGAAAAGGGAGCAGGTTAGGAAAGGGACCATCAGAGAGGCAAAGAGAAGAAGGGAGGGAAAGGGTAACAATTCCCTTTGAAGGACTCCGGGAGCCCCTTCCTAAGAATCAAGGTCAGGGCCCCTCCTGTTGGCGGGGTACTTACTTTCCTGAACTTAACAGAGGGAAAGGCCCATCCTCTTAATTCTTGGGAGAGATGGATGGAGGGAGAAAGACCACAAGGTAAGCCTGGGGACTTACGGAAAGCTTATTAACGGAGTCTATTGGGACTGACTAGTTTCAGGATCACTATAACCCTGGAAACAATGCAGTAGTATCTCAAAAGATCTAGGTGGAGAGCCAGGGAATTCCCACCATCAAATGTAATAATTGGGTATCTCAGACAACCAAAACGAAGATCTTGGAAGGTCCTGATGATAGAGCATTTTAGGGAATTCTGACCAATTGTGGCAGTCCTCAAGAGGATGCTCCCCAAACTACGGTAGCAACAGAGTAGCAAAGATGTTAAGCTGGATGGGAGCCTGAGGAAGGAACAGGGGGGGTATGGCCACCCCCCTTCTCTGCCAGCCGCCCTCCCTCACACTGTCCGTTCCTTGATGACACAGCTGATGTGATTTAGATCGTCCCCAAATCGCTTCACAGCAGCCCTCAGCATCTCTATCTCCGTCTCCGTCCACTTCGCACTGTCAGAAGGGGAGAGGGGGGACAGCAAAAAACGAAAGGAGGAGGGGTGTGGAGGCAGGCCACGGGCTATTTATTCCACAGCCAACCAGCCTCCGCCTCCCAATTTCTGGACCCCTTCCAATTTCTGGGCCCCTGCCACAGACCAGAAAGAAGTCCTTCTTAAAAAACAACAACAAAAACTAAAGGCACGGCAGGAGCCCTGAGGACTCCCGACCACGTGAAATCACAACCACCCCTCTCCCCCATCAGCGTGAACGGGCAGTTGTAAACGGCCCACTGAGACCAACCCAGCAAGCAAGGGGCCTCACAAACACCCCCTGAACGGTCTGAAACAGCCGGAGGGAATTCCATGTGATTTGGGGTGGGTGATAGGGGTGGTCTGTGGCCTGCAGTGTGCCGGTATGCAGCAGTCTGGAACTGTGAAATGAGCCCGGGTTAGGGACTCGGGCTGTATTTTTATGTGTCACTAATTCATTCACTCACTAATCATTTATTAACACCTCCTCTGCGCTGTGCCAGCCAGAGAAGCTAACATCTGTCCCTGCCCTAGAGGGTCCGTGCCTGTGATCGAGTCCAAGCGTCTGCTCTCAGCGTCCACGTCCCAGCCCGTGCTCACGTACCCCGCGGGGGAAGAGTCCGCCACGGGATGCAGCTGCATCGTCAGCTCCCCGAGCTTGGTGAAGGCGGCGCCGGCCGCGGAGAAGATCTCTCCGACCTGGGGGCGGGGCAGCATTACGGGGGGCCGGCGCACACCCTCCGCGCCGTCCCGCCCGGACCCCTAGCCCCACCCCAGGCTCCGCTCCCGCCCGCCCCCCGCCCGGGCGGAAGAGCCAGGAGCCAAGTGGGCGACCCGCCCTCCCATGGCCGGCAGGG